ACTCGGCCTCTAGGAAACCGGTCCTACTGCTGCACTTAGGGCTCAGGGCCACTTAGGGCCGGTAACCACTCAGCCCCTGCTGCTGTTAGTCCCAGTTATTTTTAGAATAGCGGGCGGCCCTCAGCGCAAAACAAAAAACACAGCAAAGCACACAGCACACTGTACAACCTCGCAGTCAGTCTCGGCAGTCGAAATCAGCAAGTCATTGCAGGCTTACCCCCCCAGGGAGCGAGGACCTCCGAGCTAGGGATGCAGACGAGGTGAACGGCGAGGAAGGTTGCCCTTATGAGCCGTTTCACATCGTAAGACAATTGACTTTGCTGTCTTGAGAAGTTCCCTTCTATAGAACCATCTGCTCTCGGAAGGAGGCTGGAACGCGAACCTCGCAAGATACTGCCGATCAGGGCCTGTGCCCCATTCATCCTCAATCTTGTCCACGTCATATCCCTCGCCAGGGATCGGTGGACCAAACTGAGGGGGCCCGTCTGGGAATGCATCAGCTGGAGTGAAGGGAAGCAGCTTAGATGCATGGAAGACCGGGTAGGTTCGTAGATGCAGCGGGACGTCAATGACATAGGACGGACCGAATGGGTCGGCGCCCACTGTATCTAAGACCTGCCAAGGACCCAGGTAACGAGGCAACAACTTGGGGGAGATATCCTCCTCCCTCGACAGCTCAAAGCTGGCTACCCAAACATGATCACCAGTGCAGATGGGGGAAGGCCGCCTGTGGCGATTAGCTTGTTCAATCATCGCCTTTTGGGCTTTGAACAAGTTCGCCCGTGCTCTTTCCACATCTATGCGGTAGCGTCTGGTGAACTTTGCGGTGCCTGGCATCAGATCAGACTTGGCCTTATCGATGATATCATCGAGAGGCTGTCGTGGTTCACGTCCCCAATGCAACCGGGATGGACTAAACTCAGTCGAGGAATGGACAGACATGTTATACATAAGTTGTGCTCGAGCCAAGTGAACATCCCAGTCCTGCTGATCTGGAGAGATGACAGGACGCAGCAATTGGAATAAGACTTGGTTCATCACTTCAGCCTGACGATTGGCTTCAGGATGACAACCGGAAGTCATGTCCAATCGTGAGTGCAGATAGTCCTTACAGTAGGACTGCCACTCATCGCTGCAAAACCGGGGGTCTCTATCACTGACTATAGAAGTCGGCGATCCATGGTGTGTGACCCACCTCTCTGAAAAGGCTGCTCTCACAACCGGAACTCTGGCCACTTCAAGCAAGGGGATGAACTCTGCGTATTTGGAGAACCTGTCCACATAGACCATAACCTGACGCATGCCCCGAGGGGTGGTCTTGCCTAAATCTGTGAAGTCTATCGACACAGATTCAGCAGGGCCATCAGGTATGGGTAAGGGTTTGAGCAGTCCCAAAGGAGGACCTTATTCCTTTGGCAGAGCTCACAGGTTTCCACATAGCGCAGCATATCACTCCGCATCTCCTTCCAGAAGAAGCGATGCGACAGGGTTGCATATGACTTTAGGAACCCAAAATGTCCACGGGCATCATGACACTCTGACATCAGTAGTGTCCTGAGTCATTGGTCCTGAGGAATGCATAAGCGCTCCTCCCCTCTGCTGTAAGTGTACACCAGATCTGAACTCAGAGCATAGCCTGGTTCAGAGTTAGGATCTGCTTGCAGATTCCTAACTATGGGTCCGAAAGTCGGGTCCTGAGGCAATAAATGAGCAATGGTCTAACAGGTCTCTTCTCCAAAGGAGTGAGTAGAGGAGATCAGGGCAAAAGAGTCTGGCCTACGAGAGAGGGCATCTACTACCTTGTTGTAGCATCCCTTCTTGTGTTTCAGTTCAAAGTCAAACATGTCTATGAACTGAATGTACCGTGCCAACTTATCATTCAGCTCTCCCTGGGACTCGTCCACTGTAAGGTGCAGTGATCTGAAAAGATCTTGAAGTGCCTTCCCAGGAGAAAGTGCTTCCAATGTTTCAGGGAACAGACAAGAGTATATAGCTCTTTCTCGTAGGTGGAGTCCTGGAGCTTTTGAGTTTTGATCTTCTTACTCATAAACTCTACAGGCCGTAGACCATTCCCATCATCCTGCTGAAGAACTGCCCCAATGCCATACTGACTAGCGTCAGTGGTCAGGATGAATGGCAAGGTGGGGTCAGGCAACTTCAGCACAGGCGCACGAGTCAAGGCCTTCTTGAGTCGTGTGAAGGCCAACTGACAGTGGAGGGACCAAAGAAAAGGAGTGTCTTTCTTTGTTAGGTTGGTCAGGGGTGCAGTCACTGCATATGCGGCCAAACCCATGAAGGACCTGACATCCCTCACTGTCTGAGGCTGGGGCCACTCCTGAATAGCAGCTATCTTGGCTGCTTCAGGAGCCAGGCCATCTCCAGAGATTACATGACCCAGATAGATGACAGAGGGAACTCCGAAAGAGGATTTCTCTCTGTTAATCTTATACTGTATGTCACGTAATGACTGAAGGATAAGAGCCAAGTGCTCCGCATGTTCCCTGGCAGTTCGGTTGAATACCAGGATGTCATCTAGGTAGACAACCATGAACTTGTCCAGGTAAGGCCTGAAGATGCGGTGCATCTCTGTGAGGAAGGTACCTGGGGCGTTGCAAAGTCCAAATGGCATGACCAGGAACTCGTAAGTACCATACCTGGTCTTGAAGGTTGTCTTGTAGACATCCTCCTCTGCCATCTCAATCTGGTGGTACCCAAGTTTGAGGTCGACTTTGCTGAATACTGTGCAATCCTGCACCATCTCCAGAAGGTCATCGATCCTAGGAAGTGGCTTTGTACTCTTCCTAGTGATCTTATTGAGACCTTTGTAGTCAATGCACATTCTGAACTCGCCATTCCCTTTGGGCACAAAGAGAACGGGTGCACCGAATTCAAAAGTGCAGGGTCTGATCCAACCCTTGCTGGTCAGGGTCTCAAGCTGCTTTCTGAGCTCCTCAAGCTCAGCAGGGGACATCCTGTAGATTCGGCCCTTGGGAGGGACCGCTCCAGGCAGTAGCTCAATCTGATGTTTGGTTGGCCGGTTGGGTAACCCAAAGGGCTCCTGCATCAGATCAGCATACTCATCAACCACCTGTTGTATCTCAGGAGGACAAGAAACAGGAGGAGCGTCAGTCTGCTTGACCAGAGCTATAAACAAATGCTCATGATTGTATTGGCGTGAGAGAGAATAGAACTCCCTCGCTCTCAGGCAGTAGCAAGAGGTCTTAGGGTGATGATCAACAGCAATCATGCATGGCTGGTACATCCCCTGTCTGTTAGGTAGTTCAACCTTTGGGATCTGCCAGTCGATCCTTGGGTTGACTGCCTTCAACCACTGCATAGAGAACACCAGGTCAAAGGGTAGGTCAGGGAATAGGTAGAAGTTCAGACTATGTCTGACTTCTCCAGCGCTGTCGAAGGTAACGGGGATACCCTTGACCTTCTCCCTGATGGTGAGCACTGTGGAGTCACTTATCCTGACCAGCAAAGGTTGCTGCAGCTGCTGAACTTTCATTCCCAGATGCAGTTTCTTAACAACACTGGGAGATATAAAGTTCCTGGTGGCTCCACAATCCAACAGCCCTTTGATCCTGCAAGCAGAAGGATGCTGCCCGCGCAGTCCCCAAACTCTCACAATCGGTCTCAACTGAAACAGCTGCAGGTTCATCTACCTGAGCAGATGAAGGTGCAGCACTGGGGGGAGCTGCAGTCCCCAGGGTCTGTTTCAGTTTTTCGACTGTCCTGGGCCTGGCATGTAAGGGCAGTCCTTTAGAAAGTGTTGTCCCTCGCACCTCAGGTAGACCCCTCTCTCCTTTCTTCTTCTCCACACTCCCGCCTGGATCTTGAGGTCATGCCAGGGGAGAGTGGAGGGATTGAGTGGGTCAGGTGGCATATGGACGTCTTTGGGGAGGTTAGGGCGCTGGGAGGAGGAAGGCCGACGTCCCTTGTCCTTCCCCTTTACGCTCGCTGAGGTTGTGGAGGGAAATAACTTCTTCTGCTGTTGCAGAACTCCCAAAACAGCCTGAGTCAGGGCCGCTGCAACATCTGTCTCAGCAGCGGATCCAGTCCCAACTGATGGTGTATCAGCCTGGGAATCTGAATCAGAGGCTGACACATATCCTGCATGTGAAGGCTGCCTTTCCCTTTCTACCACCACAAGGGAAGGCACCTTTCATCCTGTCAAAGGAGGGGGCCTGGACATGAAGTTTGGCCTCCATGTCCAGGGCTGCGCGACCAAAGGATCTCCAGTCGTTGTGCCCAGCGCTGTACAATGCTACAACAAACTTCTCAGGTGCTGCCCTACAGAAGTTGGTCAGCAAATCATCTGTAGACATGACCAACCTAGGGGTAGAGGTGAGCTGCTTGAGCTCTGCAAACAAGGCCTGCAGGGTACCGCTGTAGCGCTGCTGCCCCAAGCGAGCAATCTTGTCAGCAGCTTTGCGGGCCCGCTCCTTGTCAGCAAAGCGATCCTCTAGGGTCTGCTGAAGTTTGTCCACCCCCAGCCCAAAAGCCCAGTCCTCCATGGACTGCTGCAGACTGCTGGAAGTTGAGGTGGCCCACGTCAACGCGGGTCCCTCCAGCAGTCCCAGAATCGTGGCCACCTTAGTCTGTTCTGCACAGACAAAGCCCCTCAAGTAGGCTTTGGTCCCAACAGCCCAATCCCCAACATCGGTCTTTGGGTCATCCCCTCTTAACTTGTTGGGAGCTGGGATCTTGGGACCTCTCTGGTCTCTTGCAGCAACAAATGCATAAGTTGGCCGGGCTGTAGCTTTTTGGGAAGGAGGTGGTGAAGGGGAAGAATGGCGTGAACCAGAGGGTGTTGAAGAGGGAGAGGAGGAAGGTTTGGGTTTCGCTGAGAGGACAGGAAACAGGGGAGCAATCAGTTTGGCTGCTGTCAGCTGAGCAGTCAGGTCCTGGATTGCTGTCAGGATCTTGGACTGTTGAGCTGCCAGGTCATCCACCCTGTGCTCCAGACGACCTATACGGTCATCCCAGTTAGTGAAATAGGAACTGGTGGTTTTGTGTTCTAGAATGACCCATTCCGCCAGATTCCTAGTCACCTGTGCACAACGCTCATCAGACAGAGCCTTGCCTAGCTGCTCCAACAGATACTCCTGTCGCGAAGCATCTGTTGCAGCCTCTAGGTCGGCTGCCTCCTGTCTCTCCAACTCGTCCAACAGGGCCTGTTCCTGCTGCAATCGTTCCTGAATCTCCTTCTTCCTTCGCTGAGTAGCAGTGAGAGGAGTAGTAGGAGTGGAGGTAGCAGGTTGCTCACCCTCTACCTTCATTACTACTACTTGTGGCTGCTGCTGAGCGACTTGATCAGCCATTTTCCTCTTTCACAACACACAAAAATAAACAAACAGCAGAGAGTATGCAGCGATGTACAGATCCCTTCAAGTACTCAGAACTCGCTGCCAACTCAGGCACAGAAGTCAGGAGGGTGAATAGGCACAAACGGTTTGGGTTGGGACTGTTTCTCTGGGGTAAGGGGTCAGATAGACAGTTAGTCCAGCAAAATCAACCACACGATTTCCTTTTACTGACCCTGCACCACACTGGAGTTAGTAAACACAGTCCACTACTCTTCCAGAGAAACACTAGATTTCCAGAGCCCACTAGAAAACAAGAGTGATCAGTGAGAATGAAAGAAAAAGGCAAGTACAGACAAGGACCAAACAAGCAGAGCGATTCAGTTAAAGACCCTGAATCCTAACTCAGACTTAATTTTCATCCCTGATGACTCTGGTGGCCATACCCTAGATCCTAACTCAAACTCTGACCTTGAATCTGACCCTGTGGCGCCCAGAAAGCCAACAACGAATTATCTTGCCACAGTACTCCACAGCCGCTGATGCTATAAATAGCCCCAGATGGGCTTATTTCATCCTGAGATTGACAGAGATTGTCAACCTCCCTCAGCGCTACTCGGGGATGAAGCGGCTCAACAATCCCTGAAGTCCTCAGGGGTAATTCGCCACTCTCAGGTCGTTCGCAATACTACCCTCAGGGTTGGCTATGGCGAATTGACTCTGCTCTCGCCACTTTCAGACAAGCGCCCTGACAGGCTCAGTGCGCTTGCTCAGTGTAAACACTAAACTCCTGAATCCACCGCTTGAAGTCTTCTTCCCTGCTGACTCAGTACTAGTGAAGATGAATCGTCATGAAACTAACACCAGTATGTCGCCAGATGAAGAAGATGCCCAGTTGCACTCAACCCTCAGTGCTCCAATTCCAATCTCGCTCCGATACCAACTGTTATGAACTTGGTTGCCTGCCAATTTTTACCGCCACTCACACTCAGACAGTCTCATACACGCCCATACATGCATAAGAGAAGGGGGAGAGGAGACAAAGTCCACACCGCACACAGATCGAAGTAGATAGCGGAAGCACAACCATGCACAGATGGGGAGAGGACACACAGTGTTTCTCACTCTCTGATGATACTCCCAACAACCAATCACAAGAAAGAACCTGCAAGGATAACAATTGGAATACACACTGATGATGAGCCAAGTAACCAAAAATCGTTACAGAGTTTGTTCCAGTATCTCGCCACACTCAGAACTCCACACTCCACTCTCTCTCCTACACCCAGTTAGTAGCGCCATACTGAACTGGCCTCCCAGAGGCCAGCGCCAACCACCTAGATGAAGAACAGATCCGGCGATGAAGTCTTCAGTGCCGATGAACAACTTTGACGAAGAACCGGGAGCTATGGCTGCCGCCACCCACACAGACTCAGTGAGGAGTCTCCACACAGCCCAACCAATCGCAGAAACCCACAGGGGTTGATGCGAAGGGGATGCCCCAGCTATGGCATGCCCTCAGTAGGCTGGCTATGGCTGCCGTCCACGGTGAGGGTCTCAGGGTACTGCCTGCAGACAATCGCCGCTACAAACCTCCTGGCTCCAAAACGTTGTATCGCGAAAGTGAACTGCCAAAAAGTCCTCAACAGTCCTACGCTAACCTACTTGTAGATTCTACACTACTCTAGCCTAGGGCCTACCGGTACCGGTTCRGTTAGGGCCTACTCGGCCTCTAGGAAACCGGTCCTACTGCTGCACTTAGGGCTCAGGGCCACTTAGGGCCGGTAACCACTCAGCCCCTGCTGCTGTTAGTCCCAGCTATTTTTAGAATAGCGGGCGGCCCTCAGTGCAAACCAAAAAACACAGCAAAGCACACAGCACACTGTACAACCTCGCAGTCAGTCTCCGCAGTCGAAATCAGCAAGTCATTGCACTCATAGCACAGGCGTTGGGACCCATAATAGACACAGCATAGAAGCAGCAGACCTCTGTTCCTTTTATCCCTTCCTACCTACAGTTCACCAGGCAGTTCTCTGCAACAGTATACATCTGCATATCTATCCATCTATCCACACGCGCGCAGACACACACCTCCTGATGAGTCGGTGAAAGTCCGACGAAACAGTCTGGTACAGTCATGCTTTTTTTTAGTGTATAGCGAATATGACAACACACACACACACACACACACACACACACACACACACACACACACACACACACACATACACAGGAACAAACAAACATTGAATATGCAGAATGGAATGAAGAAAAAAACAACACGGAATGACGAGAAAACGAAATATGCGGCAAGGAAAGGGAGCTGGTGCTCATCGTACCTGAGCGAGGGGATTGGCCTGCATGCCACGGGAAGAAAGACCAGAGAAAAGGGATGGACCAGAGTCAAAGAAGTACCCATTCCGTTCAAATGAATGGGCGGCTCCACCAGGTATCGCTGCGCTCTCACAGATGACAACATCCTCTCCATAGTGTGCCAAAAGAGCACCACAACACAACCCTCCAATGCCACTCCCGATCACCACAACATCAGCACTGTCTCTTCCATCTGCAAAGATGTCATCAAACAATTATCCAATTGGGAGGACGGGGGGAAATGAGCACTCCGAATATATGATTTGCCAGCAGTTGATATCCATTTTAAACTCTTGTGAGTCTTATTTGAATATAGAGACAAAGAGAGGCGGTCATCACTATCCCTGCTGGTCAGAGTAAGTTTTAGATGATCTAAGCTCATCTTTTTTATATGATTTATGTATGTATGTATGTATGTATGTATCGTAATGTATGTCTGTATGTATGTATGTATGTATGTACGTATGTATGTATGTATGTATGTATGTATGTATGTATGTATGTATCATAATGTATGTCTGTATGTCTGTATGTATGTATGTATGTATGTATCATATTGTATGTCTGTCTGTCTGTATGTATGTATGTATGTATCATAATGTATGTCTGTCTGTCTGTCTGTCTGTATGTATGTATGTATGTATGTATGTATGTATGTATGTATGTATGTATGTATGTATGCATGTGTGTATGTATGCATGTGTGTATGTTTGTATGTGTGTAGGCATGTATTTGTGTTGTCAAGAGCCCCCAAACTCTCTCTCTCTCTCTCATTCCGTCTACAAGCCATCACAAACCATCCATAAAATAAAAGAAGTATAAACAGGCAATTAATAGAAGACGCAAGGTTTCCCACGTTTGTGTGGTTGAGTGGGAATTTTTTCAATCTAAGGAAAAAAGGTGGAGGGAAGCGCCAAGTGCCCACTCACCGTACAACTGCAGCCTGCTCTGCAAAATCACATACCAGGCACAGACCCAAACATTCGGGCATACATTGCTGAAGGACAAAAGGCAACATCCTTAACAATTACATTACATGGACCACAAAAAATAGGTGCACCACAACACAGAAGGCACTACCAGCAAGAAAGCACCGTCCAGAACCTCCAATGGTCCGAAAGAATTGGAAGGTCCCTCTGAGTCCGCCCACAAAGCCACAAAATAATCTCCATGCGATACCAGGAGCACCACTACTTAAAACACCATAGAAGTTCCCCATCTTCCATGTGCTCCAAAAGAGCAGCCCAAAGACTCTCTTACCCTCCTCGCGAAGATACCGTGGCCATGACTCCAAACAAACATTCCCGCCCAAAAAAGCTGGTGGCCACCCACAGACATACCTTCATCAAGAGACAGCCCATGCATGTATGTACGTATGTATGTATGTGTGTATGTGTGTATGTGTGTATGTATGTGTATACGTACCATGTACGTACTATACAAAAATAAAGTACCGATGAACAGTCAGGCCACCAATGCCGCCTCAGACTGGCCTGGTGACCCGGCGGAGCAATGTCCAGGGCAAGGCCCTGGCCAGCCCCAGCACAGAATTCAATTAAATTTCAAAACATCCAAGAACAATCTACAAATCAAACAACTCTTTGCTGAGGAGAACTCGTTATTAAATAAAAAAGAAAATATGAAATCATCTCCTTTTTCTTTCACGCAAACACACACAAGCCCCGTCTATTCTGGTGGGCGGCAGTCCGGTTGCTCATCACCGGCAAGCTTTATGAACAATCGTTTTTTAAGAAAAAACAATCATGCATGGCCCTCATATGCCTTATCAAAAGCCAGCAATCGGCCGGGAGACTCCCAGTGGTACCCAGACACCGATAGTTCAAATCCCCAATTGATAGCCTATCCGAAGCAAGACGCTCACAGGCCGGGTATCACCCTACAATCCTCCATTAGTATTCCCTATACAATCATCAATCCCGTTGGTATCACGTTAGTTAGCGTAATAACCCGTCATATCTCATTTGTCATATTGCATAGGATCCCTGCAGCCCTACACTAACATATGTTTCGTTGTGAGCACAAAATCAGCAACCATTCCCTTCCTCCCCCTATCAAGTTCCGTCACCATTGGCTTTTCCCCGACACCCGGCTGGACTGCAATGATCCACACTTCCAAATGGCCTTTCCACACTTAAGACGCACCGGTTTCACACACACATGGAGCTTATTAAAATAAAACGAAAATATGAAATCATGTCACATCCCTCTCGACTGCACTGATCCACACTTCCAAATGGCCTTTCCACACTTACTATCCACCCGTTTCAGACACGCGTGGAGCCTGACACATAAGTTACACTTCAGAAAAGTTGAACACACACTTGCATTCTTTTCAACTCGACAAATCGTACAAGTATCCAGGCAGCTATGGCTACCAACGAGCCACAGGTCTCTCTCTCTCTCTCTCTCTCTCTCTCTCTCTCTCTCTCTCTCTCTCTCTCTCTCTCTCTCTCTCTCTCTCTCTCTC